AAGGAGACTGAGGCGTGGCCTGAGAGGAAGGCCCACCACCAGTGGGTGGTGTCCCACAAAGTCCTCGAAGAGTGTCTGCGGGGGACGTGAAGTGTGTCAACTGCTGAAAGGGGAAGTATGATGCAGGCTGAGGACTGCCAATGGATTCAGGGATGCAGAGGTCACCGGTGACCTTGACAGAGCAGTTTCAGTTGTGAGTGGGAGGGGATGGGAGGAGAATCTGAGGGCGGCAGTGTAGACAATTCTTTAAGCAGTTCTTCAAGCAACTGCTTGGCAGTAGAGCAGAAGAATGAGGTGATAGTGGAAGGGCACACAGTCAAGGAAGGTTTTGTCTGTTTTTAAGATAAGAGATTTAATGTGCTTGAGTAATTGACAATCTCATAGGGAAAATTTTAGGACACAGGGGAGAGAGCAGTGAATTGTTGGAATTAGGTCCTTGAAAAGGGGAAGGAGATGGGATACAGGAAACAGTGGAGAAGTTGGCTTCTGTCAAGAGTGTAGTTAAACTGCTCCATGGCATGGCTCCCTTGGCATTCATGTTGTGCGGCCAAGTGGCCTGCAGGGGCCTTAAACTGACACTAGCCCCTCATGCAGGCACAAGCCCCAGACAGTACCTGCAGAGTCACAAGCAAATGTGAGTTCTTGATATAACTTCCCCAGCAGCTCTTGTGATCAAAGGCTCCCCTGTCTCCCCGGGCCTTCCACCTGTGCACCCCTTAGATAAGACCCCGGGGAGTTCACCAAAACCATACTCATTTTGGATTGAGTTGACCAATCTGAGCTTAGCCCGGGAACCCCAAAGCACTCCACCCCTGGCCCTAATAAAGGCATGTGCCCGGGGTCCGGTCACTCTCAGCCTGCACCCTGCCTTGATCTCCCCTCAAGGCCCTGGCAGCATGCCCTGTATTTCCTCCAGGACCAGTGAGTAATTAATCTACTTCAATTTCTCTTGTGGTCTTTTGTTGAACCTCAGTCACCATCCCACACCCTGTGCTTCCCTTAACAAATATGAATATTAAAAGTCATTAATAGCTTCTTAC